TGGTTAAGACAGCAGAAAGCCGAGCGTATATAACCGGTTTTAGCTACTCGCTCAGGTTTTCGCAGTCATTATTGGGTCGCGCCGCGTATGGTTCGGCGAGATGTCCCGACGTTCCGCTCCACGGGCCTGGAAGCTTATTTTCCCGACACGTGGAACAAAACTTCGGACATCGTGCTGAACAACAACACGCCGTGCAACCTGAAAACGCATCGGAGAGGATGTTGCTTCAGTTGTGAATATTAAATAAGTACGGTGTGTTTTGTGTGTATGCGCTCGCTAACAGCACTTGCCCCAACAGTCTGTTGAGGTTATACGGGGGGGGGGGGGGGGGGGCTTTGTCTTTGTAGCGGAGATGGCCAGGTAACTCACGGAGCTGATATTCTCTCAGAGCCCTGAGCCGTCAAATTATGCTAACCTTGGATGGACTTTTGGCGTCCACTTTCTTTTATTTTATTAAACTGGTTTCTCAAATCGTGCGAGTTAGCATTCCCAGCGTGGTCATCATTGGCTATAAACGCCTATGCCCCATGAAAAGCCACCAATGAGAACAAAATGTGCTTTCATTAGGTTTTGACCGTATTTTTCTTCTCCTTATTCATAAATGTTGTTCCTATTTTTAGCTCTGTACGGCACCTTGCGACCTCCGCGTGAAAGTTGCGAATGCGTGTTACGCGCGCGCGTGCGTGCCGCAGAATATAAATGTGCACGCGGGTGCATATGCCGTGTGCACGTGCACATGGCGTTTACGCACGCATGCATAACGTGAGACCGATAATTACATTTATAAAACGTGTTGATGAACAGCGGCATAGCTGTTGGAGCCGCAAGTGCATTTCCATGGTGATTTTAAAGGGGACTTGGATAATTGCCACCGTGCCGTGTTTGGCATTGCCTCCGGACGCGGTTCTAATTAGTGGTCCTCTGCAGCTGTCCTGACAGCTGGTGGCCTCTCATCATCATCTTCATCAGCCACGTTCTATCCACTGCTGAATAAATGCCTTGTCATGTCATCGCCATCCCCTCCGTGGTTCCGTGGTGGGCAATCCTTCCCGCACGCACGCACATGAGTCGATCGGATTGTTCCGTAATTATCTGCTACCCCATCACGAGTCTTGTCTATCGGCCTGCTATCCCTTCAGGTGATGTGTTCTGCTCAAGCCCCGCTGATTTTCTGCAACAAAGCGATGTCCCTGATTTGCATTGGCTCCATCATCCACGTGTGCCTGGTTTCCAAGCGTGCGTCTCTCCACGCCCGTTCGCGCACTCCTCAAGCTTCTAGCTTCGTTTGTTTGTCGGGGTCGCCGGGTTCAAACCGCGGTGCGCACACCACCGCACCACTGCTGGACCACAGCGTGTAGGCGGAGGGCAATGAAACCGTACGTTAGAGGATGTTGATGATGATGATGATGATGAAAAAAACACATGTTAATGTTATGAATGAGAATCTTGCCTCCAGCTCAGCAATCTGAACGCATCGTGTCATCCATTTCAGGTTTACGCGTAAGCCCGTTGTTGAAAATGCTATGGCGCTGATGAACGAATATGAATCATCCATAATAGAGGTTGTTGGGTTAGATTGCGTAAATATAAATGTGTCGTTAAACCCACATATTTATATTCATGCGATCTAACCGAAAAATATCTTATGGATAATATTGGTTGCGAAAGCCTACGTGATGCACTGAATATGAATCAATTTGTAACTTGGGAGTTGAGTTGGATCTCCATTGAATCCAATGAGAAATATCGGTGGTGGTGCTGCTGCATTATGGTCCCTAAGCAGCCTGTTATTTATGGGACCCCCCCCCCGTTAATATTTATAAACTCCTCGTGAGATGACAGAAGAGATATATACATGAGATAAAGGTGTAGCGAGACGCGAGACGAGAGATACAGATGAGCCAGAGATGTTGTCAAATGAGAGCGATGTAGACAAGACACAAAGACGGTGTTCGATGGTAGAAGAGAGCAAGGGACAAGATGGTTGGCTTGTTACGTTTATCAGGATTTGAATTTGAGCCGATATTTGGTTCATCCCAATTTTTTTACACGAATCTAGAGCCCCTTTGCACTACTTGGGGTCTCGAGCATTTGCTTGGTCGGCTTTTGCCTGGTGCCACCGCTGATGAAATCACTGGCACCGTTTGGAAAGGCGTGGAGTGTGATGCTCTTTTCCGTTCGCCCGTTTGAAATCTGGACACCGAAGCCACTATTTTTTTTATCAGACCACAATTTTAACCAGGTCAGCTGATTCTGACATCACTGATGGGTACGTTAAACCCAAACAATAGGACTCGCCCCAAACTGTTTTCAATTGGCTGTTCTGTAATGTTTGTATTTGCCTTGGGCTGGTGGCATGATGAGCCAATAAATACGCTCATTGGTCCCACTGTTAGCTGTCGGTCATACCAGGAAATAAACCAGTATGTTGTAAATTCCTTTCTCGGGTGTTATAATGATAAATAACATAACATATCTTACAGCTATTTGTCATTACAATACTGGATCAGGGCCTCCCCACGCCTTTTGGCCATGCGTGTTTTTGACCTAACTGTACCACGTCACTACCGATTGGTGCCAGTGGTTAAAGCAGCGAGGCCCAGGACTGGTTCAGATTTCATTCGCCGCTGATATTATCTGTGGCAGGGAATGGAATTTAGATTGTTGGGTTCATAGAACAGGAAGATAAATCCACTCCACTGCCACTCTATAACCTACAGAATTATATATTGGGTCTATTTTAAAATGCACAATTCTTCTACGCTTTTTAAATATACATTTATCCCCCTCCCGCCCACCTCCCCCTTCGCCCCCCCCCCCCGCAATGATATTCCACTTGTGCTATTGGTGTACCGGTGTATTGTCATGAGATGAAGCATCCATTCGGAACTCTTGCAAAACAAAGAAACAGCACTTTAGACAATAGGCTGGTGCAGAAGGTGTTAAATAACTACTTTTTAGATCGCTTACGGTGACCAATTTATCTGCACACTCGGAGGGAACACCTTCTCACATGCGCTGCTACATGTGCTCATTGCACGGGTGTCAACACAATGTTGTTAATTCTCATTAACAAAACTAATTGGACGTGACGGGGTCTTTTTTTGTGTGCGTGTGTGTCTGCAGTCGTTGGTGGCTGGGCCAAGGCTATAAATCCACGGCTATGATAACCCAATTTTATAACTTCGAGCTGAAACCACATTCAAGCCAGAATGACGATGGTTCTAATCTTGATAAATTACTGACTTTTCAAGCACGTCGCATGTGCCACCTTAAGCGCACTTAATGAATCAAGTGTTTAGTTTCATTAAACTGTGTGGCTTGTTTTATACAATCTGTGTGCAATCGCAGCTCCTGCCGTTGCTTTGAGTTTGCGCACAAACTTTTAATAGTGAAGCGACAAAGTTGTAGGCGGCTCTGTCCACGTGTTCACAGAAGTGGTCTCAAAGCACTCCCTGGCAGCGTGATAACGTAATGTCGTGGTTTTATGGCCACATTAATGACCAACCCACACATATATAAAATAACATTGAACATTATTCACAACATGTCGGTAAAAAAGTGTTACTTTTTCATGAAAATAAGGCCATTGTTGCCGAATGATGAAGTGTGTTGCTGTTATTATAATGTTTTATTAACGCTTCAAATCTGTTTAATAAAAAAACATGGAAAGTCGAAAAAATAAATTGATTCGTAAGTAAATTACACCATTTCTATTGGTAGCTTATAAATTGTAAATGACGCTGATGGAAAGGTAATGAGTTTTGCAGTGCCCGGCTCATACGGCGTAATAACTCTTACAGGGCATACGCGTACACACCAGAGCGATACAATGCTCCCCATTTTTGTTTTTCCTTCTCTCCCTTCCGTTCGTTTTGGGACAAGCGCTCTGGCACGGGCGAGCGGGCGCTAATGAGATCGGCCTTGCACTCCGGGTGTGGCGAGCGCGTGTTGGGGCAGGGGGGGGTGGCTCTGCTGGGGACCTGGGTCGACAACGCCAGGCTTTGTACAGTATTTCCCAAGTGGGTTCCGTGGCTTTTCGTGGGGATTACAGCTGGTGTCCGGGGGTCAGGTAGCGAAGTGCCCTTCCGCGTGCGGTGCTGCTACCCCCTCCCACCACCCTTCCCCCCCACCACCCTTCCCCCCACCACCCTTCCCCCCCACCACCCTTCCCTCCAGCCGTGGCACTGCGATCAAAGAAACCAGGGGGCACTCACATAGCCGCGTTGGTTTGACTTTTCATTTTTTGTTTCTCTTCACGTTCACTCCTCGACCCACTTTTCCCGCCGTCGCTGCAAAAAGGGCTCCTTTTTCAAGCACGCTAATTGATGCACGCTTTTCGCATTGATTTCGCCGCTGTTTTCTAACGCGAATGAATTGCGATTGATTTAATTCACCGCCGTCGCTTTCGTGAGCTTCCCTCCGGACGGTGAATTTTAAGCGACGCATGCAATCAAATGCAATGCCACATGTGCATTTGTGGCGATATGGAATTCATTAAAACGTTACGCAACCTGCACACTAAAACACCTATTTATTGCTGGAGTACATTTACTAATTGTGACCCAAAAGTCTAAACAAATGCGATGATTGAACGTATGAATTCCATGACTACATCACGATAAGACGTGAACGTTCATGGTGGCGACTTCTTACACGCACATAGGATTGCTTTGTCGTCACAGTCTCGCGCAGCGTTACGATGTCAAAGGCGCAGTTTCATTCGGAATTAAGTCTCAACTCAAATCGCCTTCGCCGGACAGCGAAGCGACGCGCACGTCGCCGCGCGTCCGTACGTATGCACGTCGAACTCCTTTCGCACCATACGTAACCGAACGTGCTAATCGGAGATCCGGCGGGTCGTGGTGGGGGTGTGGGTGGGTGGGGGGAAGGACAACAAACAAAAAACACAAAAAAGCAGTCCGAAATTTCGCGTGAGCTCGCGCGCCGCCCGATTCACGCGACTGACACCCAACGATTTCGCGTGTGCGTGCCCGCAGGCTTCTTCCGTAGGAGCATCACCAAGAAGGCGAGCTACGTGTGCAAGAACGGCGGGGCGTGCGAGATGGACATGTACATGCGACGCAAGTGCCAGCAGTGCCGGCTCAGGAAGTGCCGGGAAGTCGGCATGCTGGCAGAGTGTACGTACTCGCAGCTGTGTGCATGCGTTTTGACCATCTTTCGCGCCGTACGTGCGTGCGAATCGGAGGTGCTGTCACTCTTATCCAGCCAGATATTGCTCACCTTGTTTTAGCTCATCGTCTGGATCCCGGTCTAGGAAGAATCCGCCAGTGCGTTTGTGGATAACAGGGCATTCCGTAGATCGATTGGGGCAACAGACGATGAGCGTCACGGATTATAGGACCGCAAGATAAAATTAGTTTTTCTCGATCAGTTCACTGCAATGTGTCTCAGACCATGACAATATGTATGTATGCATGTGAGCACGTGTACGGCCGTATTTAACATATACAGCTCTGGCCTTATTGTCAATTGCACCCTGGGTAAACAGAGAATTTAGCGCCCCTTGACAAGTAATCCTTCTATAATAACCCGTCACTTGTCTTTGTCATTCGTCATGTGACTCTGTGTGTATGTGTTAATGATTACGGCGCGTCTGTAAAATCTGGTGACAGCGAATTAAGTTTGTTTGTGTACCCCGTGTATTTTATGTGGCACCCTGCACGACATTGTGTCCTTGGAGGCCGCCACACTGGTCCCCACCCCTAAGGCCATGCCAGAACGAGTGCATTTCTAATATGGCATGCCAAGCCAACCGACCCACATGGTCTTGCGGTTGCTCAATCCATCTCACTCCATCTCTCCGTTGGTCATTGTCTCTCCGTTGTGTTCGCAACCCTTTGGCTGCCATTCTGTCACTCGTCTCATCCACGGGCCACCGTGCCCTCTCGTGATGTGCCCTGCCCAAACCCATTTGTGTTCACGATACATGCATGATATTGCACAACGGAGACATTACAACGTACGATTTGTAGGTATTGTTTGCATTAATCGTGTGCTGGTTAAAAAAAAACGTTTTAATAGAACAAAGGAGACAGAACAAGACAGACGATTAAAAATAGTCACTTCATCATTTTACCGAATAAGGAAGACACAGCAGAGGAAAGATTGATCTTTGAATCAAATTGAGCTATAATCATCGTTACAACCATAATTTCAAGTACATTAAGAACTCCATCATCTTGTTTTCTCAGCTAAGACTGGACACACACACTATCACGATTCCAGTAGCCTAGCTGTCGAATGTGCAGGCGGTGCAACTGCACCGGGGCCTACGAGCTGTAGAATCTCAGGTCCCAGGCGAGGAAGAGGTTTGGGGGAGTAGGGGCAGGGCAAGACATTGGACAGAGGGCCCATTGTCATTAATTGAATCAAGGCCCATGCCAATCGCCCGACACGCCACTGCACCAGTCTGAAGCTAATACCGGTGAAATGCCCAATTACTTTAGCGGTTGTCCACTGCCGTTACGAAGACAATGGAGCGGTTTGCGTCGCCATGAATTATCAATGCCGAGGAATCTATTTATTTCCTTCCATTCACACAATCGAAACTCAAATTGCAGCCGCGCTGAGAAACGCATTAATATTTCATGGAGCTGCTGATATCTGTTGCCTCATGAATACAACATCAGCATTAACATGAATCTTTCAGACCCTGGAGGGTGGGGTTTCTTGCTCTGCCCCCGTGTGTGCGTGTGTGTGCGTGGCTTTGTAGTCAGGTCTGCCACTTGAATGTACGAGTAGCTTAGTGGGGAGTGGTCGCGTCGTGGTTAGTGCATTGTCCTCCGAACCCGCTGACCCTTAGTTCGATTCCCGCTCACGGCTAACGCCACCGATGACAATGTGAACAGGTCCTGGGCCTATCCGAAGTGGACTCGGCCTCAGATTAGGACCTGGTGTGGTGTGCAAACATCGCCAAAGGTGGCCCGGGCATAGTGCTGGCCACCCACCCCCTTCTGTGCCATGCTGGCCTTCATAGGTGCTCGCTCACAGCACTTGTCCCAAATGTCTGTTAAGGCTATACGTGGGAGTTGTGTCTATAGTGTAGAGGTTAATGGACTGAACAACGAGACCGGGCACCCAAGTTCGATTCTCGCTCACAGCCAACATCAACGGCGAATATCAGAACTGGTTGCGGGGCTTCCCCTAGACAGCGCCACCCTTGCGCGACAAAGGCGGTGGTTTGACGTTGGGATTGGTTACACCACCCCCTTGTGTGCCATGCCGGCATTAATACGTGCGCACTGAGAGCACTTGCCAAAACAGCCTGTGTCGGCTATAAGGGGAGTCTTTCTCTTTGTTGTGTATGGGTGCATGTGTGTGTGTGTGTGCATGCGTGTCTCTCTTGGACCCTGAATCGTTTCAGCGGTGCACAATGTTAATGCGTAGTCACGACTTGGCTACCATTCATGTTACTTAATTCCCACACACGGACACACCACACGCACCGCGCTAAATAAACACGAAGACCTTTAGGTTAGCCTAAGACACCGTTCGAGCCAGTGCTGTTAGCGAGCACCTGCTAGAGGGTGGTGTGCCTTGCCGCCTTTGTCTCCCCGGAAACTGACCCACCATACCATGTACTCATTTAAGGCTGAGTTGATCTACAGTAGGCGCAGGATTGATTTAGATATCACTTGCCACTAATATTAGTCGTGGCCAGGATCTCAGGTTGCAGGATTCCTAAAACAGCTCACTCAGTGCACACAGATACGCTCACAACGATAAGTGTTGCTTGCTTATTAACAAAAATCTATTACACGAATTTTAGTATTTACCTTACTTGGCATAGTAGACTGCACTGGTATATTATACCCTTCCATGTACATGCATCATGCTGGGCCACAATTACAGCATTTAGCCATTACATTTTGTTCCAACTGTTGTAAATTGGATTTCTGGGCAAGCGGTCACATTTCATTTGGTTTCACGACACATCATCACTTCATCCTTCAATATTGCGTTTGCACGTGAGCCATGTTTCCAAGTGCAAACAAAGCCGTTCATTGATATGCATACCAATACAAAATAAATCCAGCAATACGCAGACACCACGAAGGCAATTTTGAAAGTGACAAAATCATTTTGGCAGTACAGCAACTTCATCAAGACTGCATAAGGAGTCGCGTCTGCGCTGCTGCAGAGACGTGTTTCTGTGTCGTGCTGTTCCGCGCGCTGTACTAGTAGCAAATTGGCACGTTTTAGTTACGTAACAAACCTCACAAATTGGCTGTGTTGGGTGGTGGTCGGTTTAACGACGCATTTATATTTTCGCGATCTAACACGAAACATATAACCTCTATTATTGATTATATTGGTTGCGAAAGGCCTACTACGTGTTTATTAACTCAGCCTGATTACCAAGGATTGCCTAACAAAAACAGCGTCAAATTTGTGGGGGGTTTTTTACCGACTGCTTAATTTGGCATAATGCTAACTCTGGGATGACATAAACTATTTATTGGTTTGAGAGCTGACAAAGACTCGTTGTTGGGCATGTAATATTAGTCATGAGTCTAGATTGAGAGACATTGAAGTGATGGCATCATCATCTTCTTCCAAAACTGCAAAGTTGCAAAAGGAGATGTATTTATTTTATAACTAGATGCTTATAAAACAATCAAAAACATTTATTTGTTGGTGGGGGGGGGGGGGGGGATAAAAACACAGAATGGCACAAAACTACAATTTAATCAACTAACCTTTCAATTAACCACATTTCACAGACACAGAATGTACATGCCAAAACATGACGTATTAATTCTGTGCTTACACCACTCTTACAATGTATCACTGGTCACCATCCATGTAGTATATATATGCATGTTTGACGATAGATTATAAACGTTTACAGTGTATTACTTTGTAAAAAAAAAACCAACCCATAACCAGACTGCTTTGACTTCCAACGTCATGAATATCCCCGTCGGATTCCTGCGCAGAGAAATACACGGGCGTCTGCCTATCCGTTGCATAGGTCTTCTTACGGACATCCAGTGCCAATCCAAGCGGATGCGCAAGCATCCCAAGCGAGCGATGGCGAGGACAGGCCTCTCGGACGATGTCTCGGCCACCGATGGACCCCACAATCTCGCGCCAGGTACTTCGGTCTGCAGGCAACCGGTGAGACCCATGGAGACGAGTTACACCCCGCGTCCTGCCTTCACCTGTGAATGTTATTTCGTCAAACCTGTTGGTAAAACAATAGGCCTGGTCTATTAGATGGATGTTACTCTCTGCACATTGAGACCCATGGAGATGACTTCCACCCCCACATCCCGCCTTTAGCTGTGAATATTAATTTGTCAGACCTGCTGGTAAAGCAACAGGTCTGGTCTACTCGATTAATCTTCCTCTCTACACAGTCACTCACTGGATTTTCAGCCAGCACAGACGGAATCTTTAAAATGCTTGTGAAGAACTACAAATTATGTGCGTAGCAACGAGATCGATTTCATTCTGATAGGAAAACCTCAAAATTCTCAGAGATATCTCTGGCCCTCGACACATTCACGAGAAGGAAGTGATCAAAGATTGGTGGGAAGCAAGTTGCACTTCAGCAAACCAAAGAGATGATATGATGTATTGCAGGTAAACCCAAGATGGTTTACCTAAAAAAAGGTATCTAGAGCCACGAGTGGCTGATTTTAGGCCAACTCTTGGAAGCCGATTCAAATGGCGAAAGGATCAAATTGGTTAAATGGATGTGACCACTTTAAATAATGAATTAACCATCATAGTAATGGGGAATGCATTGAACTTGTGTTTTTAACCACAGTAGTTGGAGTAATAATTGTACCTATTTCAATAAATATTACATATTTCTTTACAAAAAAAGAGTTGTGGAGCTTAACGATTTCCCACCACAGAAATGTTTTCCCTTCATGACCGCTTCTGGAATCGTGTCCTTTTTGACTCAGATAGGAAGGCATGGTCTCACCAGTGGTGACTCTTTGCACTGAATTTCGCTTTCGTTTGTTTTCTTAAATTCTTGACATTATGCCGCTTACCCACTCTCCGTATCAGTGCTGATTGGTGGCATAATAAATAAAATAACAGTCAAGAGAAATGCATGGGGATTTTTTTTGTACAGTCGGTGTTAGCAGCACCACCTATTTACCACTCTTCCTCCCTGGTGTTCCGTAGCAATCTCAATAGGCGCGCACTTTGTAGGCTATACAGGGGACCTTTGTAAGTACGTGTGTGATTACAAATATTCTGCCGGGTGCCAATCGTGTGAAAACCCGTTGTCATTGAGCCCCTATGAAGGCCAGTAGGATGTACAAGGGTGTTTTGTGGCCAAAAACATTCTCAGCCACCCTTGTCTCCCGAGTGCTGATGAATTTACATATTGCACCAAGTATTAATTTGGGGCTGAATCAACCTAGGCAAGACTCAGCACTGGATTAAATCATCACAACTGATGTTAGCCGTGGTCGTAAATCGAATTTGGGCTGCCGATTTCATAGCGCAGTGTGCTAACCGCTACGCCGCCATTGACTTCACACACACGCTCACACACACAATCACAAACGCACACACACGCTCACACACACACTCACAAACGCACACACACGCTCACACACACAATCACAAACGCACACACACACGCTCGCACACACAATCACAAACGCACACACACACGCTCACACACACAATCACAAACGCACACACACACGCTCGCACACACAATCACAAACGCACACACACACGCTCACACACACAATCACAAACGCACACACACACGCTCGCACACACAATCACAAACGCACACACACACGCTCGCACACACAATCACAAACGCACACACACACGCTCGCACACACCACGAAACAACACGCTCACACACACAACATTAACAGTTAAATTTTCTTTCAGTGCCCTGCAGTGGGGAAATTGCAATGGCAGGTTTCAGGCACACGGCGATCTATAATTCTACACAATTTCCCTTCACAAGACCCCACCCCCGCGGTGGCAGCAGTGGCGGTGCGGTGTTTTCGCACGCACGGTTTTAATTTTTCAGCACGGGCCCAAGTTTCCCGGCGTCCCGTAATTGATGAGGCCCTCGGTGTTGGTCATTGCAAATGGCCTGCCTCCGGCCACTTCCTAACAACTCTGGTCTCACTGGAAGGGGGCCTCATCCCATCAATAACCTTTATTATGGCCCATTTATTTACAACTCACGGTGACCTGTAGCCTGAGGCACTGGCCGCGGATGCCGGCCCAGGAGGCACTTTGGGGGCAGAGATTAGCGCAGTTGGCAAGACGCGCGTCGTGAAATTTAATATATTTCCTCCTGCCTGCAAAATGCAATTGATGAAATCAGCCAAATGCGGCTCCGAATGCCGGATGCAAGCTGCGTGCGTGTGAAAGCAGACGGCAACATCGCTCCACGCCTCCACCGTGAACAATTTTGAGGAGTGAGCAATGATTGTGGTTGACCAATTTTGCTCACCATGTCAGCAGAAATGCTAAATTCTCTTTTCTGTCCAGGGGAATATGTAAGTCATAATACGCTGAACTCGGCTCTCTGATTATTGAAGCAATTGACACACAGTCTCTGTGTGTCTATGTTGTGTGTCTCTATCTGTGTGTCTGTGTTGTCTTTCTCTGCTTGTGTGTCTGTCTGCGTGTCTCCGTGTCTGTGTTTTGTCTCTCTCTCAAACTTAGTTCTACCTGATGACGACTGCTTGTGTTGAAACCGAAACTTCCTATTCTATTACTTAGTTTATTTTCTTTCTACGTGACTTTACCGAAAGAACCAAAGAGTAATTCTTGCAGTCACGAAAGCTTCAAATCTAATTTCAATTGATAACGCTGCTGATTATCGTTTTGTTCTCTTTTGTGCCGCTAAATGGAAAGCAATGTGCAGGGCTTGGTGAAGTCAAGCCATTCCTTTTCTTACTTGTCAATATGATGTCTCTGATGTGTGTTTATTTCTCTGATCCACTGGACATCATCCATACAAAGCGATGTGCCCTGCCGAAGCCCACTTATTTTTCTGAGCGGTCAAATTGACGTTGAATGTTCATTGTTCTCCCATCTCTATACGTTGCTTATGCTGTCTCTAAGTTTAATTCCACGCATGCATCTCTCCATGCGTCTTTGTGCACGTTTCAGCTTTTTGTTCAGTGGTCTTTGCTCATGTCCATTTTTAAAAAAAATATTCTAGAATGTCTGAACATTTTTAGGTTTTTGTTTTTGGAATCGCATGCAATTTGACAAGACAGGAACGTCGTCACCCCGTGTGTGCGCGTGTGTGTGTTTAGACGGCGGATCAGGATGAGTGGGCGCTGACAGGCGAGCAGCAGAGACTCATTGACGTGATCGTGGGGGAACACCGCAAGTACAGAATCCCGCACGACACCTTGCAGAAGTTCGTCGTAAGTGTGACATCGCTGAGATGCAAACCTCTCTCCTTAATTTACAGGACCAAAAAAATATACATATATAATTGAAACGCACGATTGCGCACGTTGTGATTCATGCTTTCAGATAGTCATTGTATCTCTGTGGCATTTGTAAGCTGATTCAACGCGAACCAAGCAAGTTCAACGAACCGTCGCCAAACTATTGGGGACAAATTTCAGAGCAGAAAAGAGAGGTGGCGGTGACTCAGAGAGGACCTTCATCCAGCAGCGGATTGACCATGGTTACTGCTGCTGCTGCTGATAACATGAAAAAAAAAACAAAGACATTTAAATTATTCCCACGACCGCTGTTGCCGTTGCTGTTTTGTGTGCGCTGCTGGTGCTGCTGCTGTTGCCGTGAGACAGAAAACAAGGAGTCAACCTCACAGAGGCAGCACGTACCGTGTTGGGGCAGCGCATGAACACGAATTGTCACGGCAAATATCACGCCGGCCCGGCCGAACACGTTGCACATGGGCGCGACGTTTGTTACAAAAAAAAATGAAAATCTCAGCTCATCAATAATGCATGCGAGCCAGGAGCCCCGACTGGGCTCTTTGCTGTCACTGAGGTTGGAGGAGGGGGGGCCCTCGCCCCCCCCCCCCCACCATATTTGCAATATGCCTGATTGACAGGGGACAGGGCTTGCTTACATTAGGCGTGTCGGGGGTTGAGTCCCCCATAGGACCCATATCGGTGTTTATTACACCGTGTTCACCCCCGGCCCCGCCCCCCCCCCCCCCGTCCTCGCACCCCTCCCCTTTGTTGATGAGCCTGCCAGAACAATCATCTCGCGTAGGAGATTGCATGCATTTGTTGTTTTGAAAGCACAGCTGCCGGGCACATGCCCCCACCCCCACCCCCACCCCACAATTTGGTCCGAAACGTCAAGCGGCCAGCAACAAACAGCGCCATTAAATATATGATATTTTGGACGTGTCTCGAAGTACGGCGATACTCGCTTGGGGGAGGAGAAGAGGGCAGGGAACACCAACGCTGAGCAGTGGGGGGACGGGGGGAGATTCAGAAAGAGGAGTGTTGTGACCTGCAGTGCGGTGAGTGGGTGGGTGAGTGTTGTGACTTGCAGCGTGGTGAGTGGGTGGGTGAGTGTTGTGACTTGCAGCGTGGTGAGTGGGTGGGTGAGTGTTGTGACTTGCAGCGTGGTGAGTGGGTGGGTGAGTGTTGTGACCTGCAGCGTGGTGAGTGGGTGGGTGAGTGTTGTGACCTGCAGCGTGGTGAGTGGGTGGGTGAGTGTTGTGACTTGCAGCGTGGTGAGTGGGTGGGTGAGTGTTGTGACCTGCAGCGTGGTGAGTGGGTGGGTGAGTGTTGTGACCTGCAGTGCGGTGAGTGGGTGGGTGAGTGTTGTGACCTGCAGCGTGGTGAGTGGGTGGGTGAGTGTTGTGACCTGCAGCGTGGTGAGTGGGTGGGTGAGTTGTTGTGACCTGCAGCGTGGTGAGTGGGTGGGTGAGTGTTGTGACCTGCAGCGTGGTGAGTGGGTGGGTGAGTGTTGTGACCTGCAGTGCGGTGAGTGGGTGGGTGAGTGTTGTGACCTGCAGCGTGGTGAGTGGGTGGGTGAGTGTTGTGACCTGCAGCGTGGTGAGTGGGTGGGTGAGTTGTTGTGACCTGCAGCGTGGTGAGTGGGTGGGTGAGTGTTGTGACCTGCAGCGTGGTGAGTGGGTGGGTGAGTGTTGTGACCTGCAGCGTGGTGAGTGGGTGGGTGAGTTGTTGTGACCTGCAGCGTGGTGAGTGGGTGGGTGAGTGTTGTGACCTGCAGCGTGGTGAGTGGGTGGGTGAGTGTTGTGACCTGCAGCGTGGTGAGTGGGTGGGTGAGTGTGTTGTGACCTGCAGCGTGGTGAGTGGGTGGGTGAGTGTTGTAACCTGCAGCGTGGTGAGTGGGTGGGTGAGTGTTGTGACCTGCAGCGTGGTGAGTGGGTCGGTGAGTGTTGTGACCTGCAGTGTGGTGAGTGGGTAAGTTGTTGTGACCTGCAGTGTGGTGAGTGGGTGGGTGAGTGTTGTAACCTGCAGCGTGGTGAGTGGGTGGGTGAGTGTTGTGACCTGCAGCGTGGTGAGTGGGTGGGTGAGTGTTGTGACCTGCAGTGTGGTGAGTGGGTGGGTGAGTGTTGTGACCTGCAGCGTAGTGAGTGGGTGGGTGAGTGTTGTGACCTGCAGTGTGGTGAGTGGGTGGGTGAGTGTTGTGACCTGCAGTGTGGTGGATGGGTGGGTGAGTGTTGTGACCTGCATCGTGGTGAGTGGGTGGGTGAGTGTTGTGACCTGCAGTGCGGTGAGTGGGTGGGTGAGTTGCTGTGACCTGCAGCGTGGTGAGTGGGTGGGTGAGTGTTGTGACCTGCAGCGTGGTGAGTGGGTGGGTGAGTGTTGTGACCTGCAGTGTGGTGAGTGGGTGGGTGAGTGTTGTGACCTGCAGTGTGGTGAGTGGGTGGGTGAGTGTTGTGACCTGCAGCGTGGTGAGTGGGTGGGTGAGTGTTGTGACCTGCAGTGTGGTGAGTGGGTGGGTGAGTGTTGTGACCTGCAGTGTGGTGAATGGGTGGGTGAGTGTTGTGACCTGCAGCGTGGTGAGTGGGTGGGTGAGTGTTGTGACCTGCAGTGTGGTGAGTGGGTGGGTGAGTGTTGTGACCTGCAGTGTGGTGAGTGGGTGGGTGAGTGTTGTGACCTGCAGCGTGGTGAGTGGGTGGGTGAGTGTTGTGACCTGCAGCGTGGTGAGTGGGTGCGTGAGTGTTGTGACCTGCAGTGTGGTGAGTGGGTGGGTGAGTGTTGTGACCTGCAGCGTGGTGAGTGGGTGGGTGAGTGTTGTGACCTGCAGTGCGGTGAGTGGGTGGGTGAGTGTTGTGACCTGCAGCGTGGTGAGTGGGTGGGTGAGTGTTGTGACCTGCAGCGTGGTGAGTGGGTGGGTGAGTTGTTGTGACCTGCAGCGTGGTGAGTGGGTGGGTGAGTGTTGTGACCTGCAGCGTGGTGAGTGGGTGGGTGAGTGTTGTGACCTGCAGTGCGGTGAGTGGGTGGGTGAGTGTTGTGACCTGCAGCGTGGTGAGTGGGTGGGTGAGTGTTGTGACCTGCAGCGTGGTGAGTGGGTGGGTGAGTTGTTGTGACCTGCAGCGTGGTGAGTGGGTGGGTGAGTGTTGTGACCTGCAGCGTGGTGAGTGGGTGGGTGAGTGTTGTGACCTGCAGCGTGGTGAGTGGGTGGGTGAGTTGTTGTGACCTGCAGCGTGGTGAGTGGGTGGGTGAGTGTTGTGACCTGCAGCGTGGTGAGTGGGTGGGTGAGTGTTGTGACCTGCAGCGTGGTGAGTGGGTGGGTGAGTGTGTTGTGACCTGCAGCGTGGTGAGTGGGTGGGTGAGTGTTGTAACCTGCAGCGTGGTGAGTGGGTGGGTGAGTGTTGTGACCTGCAGCGTGGTGAGTGGGTCGGTGAGTGTTGTGACCTGCAGTGTGGTGAGTGGGTAAGTTGTTGTGACCTGCAGTGTGGTGAGTGGGTGGGTGAGTGTTGTAACCTGCAGCGTGGTGAGTGGGTGGGTGAGTGTTGTGACCTGCAGCGTGGTGAGTGGGTGGGTGAGTGTTGTGACCTGCAGTGTGGTGAGTGGGTGGGTGAGTGTTGTGACCTGCAGCGTAGTGAGTGGGTGGGTGAGTGTTGTGACCTGCAGTGTGGTGAGTGGGTGGGTGAGTGTTGTGACCTGCAGTGTGGTGGATGGGTGGGTGAGTGTTGTGACCTGCATCGTGGTGAGTGGGTGGGTGAGTGTTGTGACCTGCAGTGCGGTGAGTGGGTGGGTGAGTTGCTGTGACCTGCAGCGTGGTGAGTGGGTGGGTGAGTGTTGTGACCTGCAGCGTGGTGAGTGGGTGGGTGAGTGTTGTGACCTGCAGTGTGGTGAGTGGGTGGGTGAGTGTTGTGACCTGCAGTGTGGTGAGTGGGTGGGTGAGTGTTGTGACCTGCAGCGTGGTGAGTGGGTGGGTGAGTGTTGTGACCTGCAGTGTGGTGAGTGGGTGGGTGAGTGTTGTGACCTGCAGTGTGGTGAATGGGTGGGTGAGTGTTGTGACCTGCAGCGTGGTGAGTGGGTGGGTGAGTGTTGTGACCTGCAGTGTGGTGAGTGGGTGGGTGAGTGTTGTGACCTGCAGTGTGGTGAGTGGGTGGGTGAGTGTTGTGACCTGCAGCGTGGTGAGTGGGTGGGTGAGTGTTGTGACCTGCAGCGTGGTGAGTGGGTGGGTGAGTGTTGTGACCTGCAGTGTGGTGAGTGGGTGGGTGAGTGTTGTGACCTGCAGCGTGGTGAGTGGGTGGGTGAGTGTTGTGACCTGCAGCGTGGTGAGTGGGTGGGTGAGTGTTGTGACCTGCAGCGTGGTGAGTGGGTGGGTGAGTGTTGTGACCTGCAGTGTGGTGAATGGGTGGGTGAGTGTTGTGACCTGCAGCGTGGTGAGTGGGTGGGTGAGTGTTGTGACCTGCAGTGTGGTGAGTGGGTGGGTGAGTGTTGTGACCTGCAGCGTGGTGAGTGGGTGGGTGAGTGTTGTGACCTGCAGCGTGGTGAGTGGGTGGGTGAGTGTTGTGACCTGCAGTGTGGTGAATGGGTGGGTGAGTGTTGTGACCTGCAGCGTGGTGAGTGGGTGGGTGAGTGTTGTGACCTGCAGCGTGGTGAGTGGGTGGGTGAGTGTTGTGACCTGCAGCGTGGTGAGTGGGTGGGTGAGTGTTGTGACCTGCAGCGTGGTGAGTGGGTGGGTGAGTGTTGTGACCTGCAGTGTGGTGAGTGGGTGAGTGTGTTGTGACCTGCAGTGTGGTGAGTGGGTGGGTGAGTGTTGTGACCTGCAGCGTGGTGAGTGGGTGGGTGAGTGTTGTGACCTGCAGCGTGGTGAGTGGGTGGGTGAGTGTTGTGACCTGCAGCGTGGTGGTGAGTGGGTGGGTGAGTGTTGTGACCTGCAGCGTGGTGAGTGGGTGGGTGAGTGTTGTGCCCTGCAGTGTGGTGAGTGGGTGGGTGAGTGTTGTGACCTGCAGCGTGGTGAGTGGGTGGGTGAGTGTTGTGACCTGCAGTGTGGTGAGTGGGTGGGTGAGTGTTGTGACCTGCAGTGTGGTGAGTGGGTGGGTGAGTGTTGTGACCTGCAGTGTGGTGGTTGAACACTGTGATGCATGAGATGAAGCAATCGACACTGGCGAATCGAGTCTTCGACATGGGTGGAGGAATCAACGGGTGAAGTTCACGGGAACAGTAGCCGTGGCAGTAGCGACAGAAGAGTGACAAGGAGGTTACTGCCTGCCAGTGAACGTGTGACTGGAGTGAATCAATGAGCGTGGGTTCACAAATCAACTGGACTGATTTACGTTGAATTCCATCAAGCGTGGGACTCGCACAGCACGCTTTGTGATCCTCTGTTGGCAGTGGTGCATGAACATAGATCACACAAAACCCCAACACGTTCGCTATTAGCACTGCCCTGCATGGGATATAAAACAGGTGAAGTTGTGGACAATTCACATTTGTCACGATCTCTCTGCTAATGAAGAAGAGCAATTGCCCCAAACCATCACCGCTTATGTCTTCTTCTTATTTTAGGGCAGTGCAATTGATGAATGTTGAGTTTTTATGACTTTTTTTAGGATTGAAACATCTCTCCTTCTCTCACTCCCTCGTAGCTGAATTGTAAAGTAAGGGATGACGTGTTTTAAATAAATAAACATGTCTTCCCGTATTCTCTGGATTGTAATATGCTCCCAAAACTTGTGTCCGTTGTCATTGTATGTATGTCGTTGACCTTCTATCGCGCCGTATGTAGCCAATACAGTTGCACTAATCTGTCAACATAGTTACACTAATCTGGTCACACACACTCGCACGGCTGTCGAATACAAGAAGCGACCCCCAAAGTGTGCCTTATCATCCTCAAAATGCGGCATTACACAAATATGCAGTTCCCACATTGTCCCTTGGCAACTTGTGATTGAGCCATTAACAAATGATATTCAATGCACGCTATTGCGTGCATATAATTTAAAAATTATTATCGCACAGCCCTTTGTCAATCCACTGCTGGGTGAAGGCCTTTGCCCCATGCCTCGTCAGTCGTGAGGGTTGTTCGACCATACTTCACCACACTGGTCGTGGCCGTTTGGTGATGTCACTGCATGCATTAGACGTGAGGCCCGGGAATCGAACTCGGGCGCCGTCGCGTTCGTAGCGCGGTGCGCTAACCACTGCGCCACCACTCCAAGCTGAAATTGTACTCGTGGCTTCATAATGAAATCCTGACGTTGTGTGCACGTTGTGTGCACGTGTGGAGCAGTTTCAAGAATACTGGGAAGGAGGCGATAAGGAGAAGCTGTGGGAAATCGCCACCATCCAAGTCCAGGTGCTGGTCGAGTTCACCAAAAACCTCCCAGGTAGGGGCTGCACACACACCTCATCACACCTCATCATCATTTAATATTCATGCCACGCCTCCCATGGAGCACGTCTCGCAGTGCCCTGTGGGAACCCCCAGTGGCAGCCGTCCCTGTGAGGCCCAAGGCTTCCTAGTCAAGGCATCTGAAGAAATGCATTAACGTTTGGCACATGATGTCACCATGCATGGTCTTACTCTTTTCTAGAACGACGTCTTGGGATCTCCATTGCACACTGTGAAGCAAGTGGAAAGTTATTTATGGTTAATGCACCCCCAGCAGCTGGGCTCAAACCGCTCTACCGTTCGACCATGTCGCCTCCCAAGTTCCATTTCGCGAAAAACTTCTCCAAGTATAATTATACACTGGGTCGTCTGGGGTGGATCGATGACATAGCAGTTAGCACACTGCACTATAAAACCAGCAAGCTGAGTTGTCCATAATCATAATAGAGGTTTTTTTTTTAAGGTTAGATCATGCAAATATAAATGTGTCGTTAAACCTGCCACCACCCGACACAGCTAATTAGTAAGGTTTATCACGTTAACAAAACATGCAAATGTGTTACTCGTTCAGCACGCAGGTGTGTTGCAGGGTAAATCCACAACATTTACAATTCGAGTACGACGTTTCTCCAGTAATAACAACCAGCCTCATCAGGCGACAGCCAGGATTGTGGCGAAATCCTAACTGCTTCGGTCTTAACTAGAGGGACCAATGTGATGTTGTCACTTTGAGACAATCAGGTACAAAGACCAGAGGGAGGGAGGGGGGGTTAATGTTTTCATATAAATTACAATGGATATGTATTATTGGTTTGGTTATTCACAGTAACCAACCGTACAAATTGTGCGGGTTTAACGATACGTTTATATTTACGTGATCTAACCCAAGAAAAAAACACTATTGTGGATAATATTTGTCGCGAAAGCCTACGTGTTGAACTAATCTGAGTTGTATTCCTGCTCACGGCTACCATCGGCGGCGAGTGATATCGGAAACCCATCCTGGGCCCCCTCGCTCAACAGCATCTGAGATCTGCTTTAGAATGTGCACATTCAGGGTGATCTGATTGGAGGCCTCATGGTGATTTATCATAGGCCAATAGATGATGCAATTTTGTTTTTAAATCCATTGCCATGCATGAATCAACTGCCCCTGCGATTGTGGATCAAAGACAGTGGCGTGATGGATGTGCAGACTTTCCACTGAGAACGCATCAAGAACTAATTTGTCAGTGATCGAGTCTGCAGTGTCAGTGCAGGAGTTGAGTTTAAAAGGGCCCTTGTGAATTCCATTGAGGCATAGGGCCGAAGCACAAGCTGAGCCACTGCACAGCCTCGGCCTAGCTCGGCGGTGGGAGTTAAACCACTTATGCAGCCTACAGAATAATATCTGAGATTCCACGTTGGTGCGATATTGCGGAGAGCGCGAAATTGTATTTGTGCCCCAAAAGGGCGGCAAAATCTGCGGGAAAGTCGGCGTACGGATGCGGAGCACGTATCGTGACAAAGGGAAGATCCGACCCAGTCAAGAGCAATTCGCAGCCATGGTAGGAGATATCCGGGAATGACTTTAATATCCGTGAAGATATGTCACTTTAGCGTCACAAACAATTTTCCCGTGAAATATGTCGACACCGGTGGTGACGGTGCAGTCGAACTATCATCTCTTCCACGGCCTTTAAACCCCCCGCAGCGGGAATGGTTGAGTCGGCACGTAGGACAACCGGTCTCCTTCTCCCCGCGACCGCGCCCTCTCGCAGCCTCTCCAAAATCCCTCGTATCGCCCAAATAAATGAAGGGCTCTTCGATTGCATTACCGCTTTTCATCCAAAACAGCGGCGTAGCTTTCTCCAATCAATGTTTTTTTGTTGTTGTAGATAGAAGCACTGTATAAGAGAAATGTGAGCATTGTTGATTAAATATCATTATTTGGCTTCCAAAATATTTTCATACAAGCGAGCCATTACTGTCAGTGCAATCTCAAAAGCCACCAAATTTGTGCTGATTGATGAATATAAAATACGCAATTTAATTATTGCTGAACCAGGTTGCCAATTTCACGTCCGTGTAAGCGGCATATTAATTTGACAATCCGCTTTAAACATTTCAGAGCGAATTGACCAATTAGGCAATGTGCCACACCCTTCCTCCACGGTGGGAGCCTTCAGTGCCGAAACTCGTCGTGTTAAATTAACTCGGTGTGTCCACCGATTTTTTTTTCTCCCGATTGACACTGTCAACGTCAACCTTCATCAAATAGGACCCGACGCACCCCACCCCCGGTTCCAGCGACGCAATTTCCCCTGGGGCCACGAGGCCTCCGCGGGACACGAGGATGAATTCTTCGCGGCGCTCGCTCGGAGTTATTAACGGCCACGTTTATTTATATATCTACACATTTATTACTCTAACGAAGTCAGGGTGTAACTAATTGAGCAGTGTGTGTGTGTGGGTTTATTTTTTTTTGTCGGGAAAGGCTGGAGGGAGGGGAAATTGAGAAGCAAAGTGAGTAAGCTGACCCTAGAGATTACGCGCTGTTTCTGAATGCAGTCAGTCGATCGGCAGGTCGCGTGTGGTGGGATAAAGTGTGGGTACTTCCACCCTCTTAGAGGGACTCTGCAGAATTATTGACAGCCGGTAGTCATTTACACCACAGTGGCATGAGAATGTAATTTCAGGGCTGCCCCCTTTACCTTACCGACTAACTCGACCAGTCGCCCCAGCCATACTCAAAGACAAAGATCTCCCCTATACCCTGAACAGACTGCAGAGGCAACAGCTGTTAGCGAGCACCTATGAAGGCCGGCAAAGCACACGGGTGGCCAGCAGCACGCCCAGCCGCCTTTGTCTTCCGAATGGCGATGTTTGCACATCGAACCAGGCCCATGACCGGTTCAGATAATCCGTCACTGCTGTTGACAGTGAATGGGAATCGAACTCGGACCGCCGGGTTTGTAGCACAGTGCGCTAACCGCTGCACTACCGGTCCCCACAGCTGAACTCAACACAGCCACAGACACACACACACGCGCGTCCCACGTCCAGTAACCCTCTCTCCCACCTCGCCGGCCTCTCCAGGCTTCCAGACCCTGGATCACGAGGACCAGATCGCGCTGCTCAAGGGATCGGCCATCGAGGCAATGATCCTGCGCTCAGCCCAGGTTTACAACAGTCGGGCGACGGATCCGCACGCCATGCTCATCAACGAGAAGAAGATGCGCACACTGAGTGAGTCCGTGCATCGTGCCGGCGTGCGCGTTCGTAAGGCAGAGGTCGTCAGTTCGATCTCCCAGCGTGGCCCCGTTCGCCCAGCAGTGGGGTGGGAGATGTGTACTGCAAACTTCGTCACGTGTGGGTGGGTCATCGTGAAAAGGTAAATAGCTCTCGTTGAGGTTCTTTCTCCGGAGCAAGACATTGCAGGGCCGCGCCTTTACCATTCATGGGTTGATGTGATTACTACGTATTTTTTTATGGAGAACTTCATTTCTCACTGAATATTTTATAGGTCACTGGTAGGCTGGGGTAGGCCTAGAGACATGACTGTAGAGTAGCCACACTCACATTGTAAATGTTGTGGTTTGGCTCTCCAACACACCGGCGTGCTGCACTAGTAACGAATTGGCACGTTCTGTTTACGTGACAGACATTACTAATTGGCTGTGCCGGGTGGTGGCGGGTTTAACGACACGTTTATTTATTTACGCGATCTAACCCAAAAAAAACTCTATTATGGAGGAATTATTTACTGGGCGATAGCTACGCACGGCTCTAATCCAGCACTGACGAGGCCAGGGTTGGTGGATCACACAAATGTTGTGATATTCCCTTCCTGTTGGCTTCGAGGTGCCTTACCCTGGCTTGCCAGAAGAGGACAGTACAGCAAATGTGGATCTAACCTGTTCCGTCTCTATCGGATTCAGCTTTGCCCCCTCGCATGTGTGGGTTTTCTCGAGGTGCTCCGGTTACCTCCTGCATCTAAACACTCATTTATTGACTGATGACACCTCAGTATATGGAGGACGCCAGAGCTTGGGCAATTGTTGGTGCCGGCTTGCTGCGTGGCTGCCTTCTCGCGTGAACTGTGGTTCCTCGCAGCCCTGAGTTGTTCCCTCTCTTCAAAAGTGGGTGACTATTGTGCGTGTGATAAGTCACATTATAGATAGATATATAACTATTATATATTTTTTGCTATGCTAAAGGACCATTCCCCCGAAACGTCACCTATTATATATATTTTTCCTTTTAAAGCAGTGTTACAGAAGGAGCGTGTTGGATGTTTTTGTCCTTCGAGCATTTGCGCCACTGTCAATGCAGTGTGACGAAGTGCTTGGTGCACAGGGTGATGAACACCAAAAGTGCATCGCTGAGCCAGGCAGGACCAGATTGTGCAAAAATAAAATGCACACAGCATGTGCAATTCTGTGCCAGGGAAGGCATAATGAAATAATGCCAACGTTAATTGATGTAATGTGTTCTTTACATTGTGGATTTAAACAGCAGCAATTATATAATGCATGAGATGTATGCAAAATAACGTCTAGATATTTTAACAATTTACATTTTAGATATTTCATAGGGCATGTTCAGCCAAATGCTCTTGAAAGTGAGGGCTCATTCAGCAGTCTCAATGATATTCCCAGCAGAGCAGCACAGCTTTGTGTTGGGAAAATGAATGCGAAATGTCACACCATCCGTCACCCTATCGGCTTGCATTGAATTACAAACAAAATTCCAGGCTGGGAATAGAGCCATGACTTTTGATGTCCTTCGGTGATGCCTCCTTTGTTTGCAAATAAACTTTGTAATTTATTTAAAAAAATCATTATTTCACACGCTGAGAAAAGCGCCAACACACACACGCACATTTAACTCACACGTTTAAATTTGGCACGTTGCCACTATCAATTGGGAATTTTGTTCCCGTGTGATTAAGTGTCGTATCAGTCGTGATTTCACGAGACCGTCACGCCCAGAAAACCGCCTCGTCAATTTGGAAGGAAATTGCCGGCACGAGGCACGCTGCCTGTCTTGAGAGAAAGCGTGCATTTGAATGGGTCCCATTACCGGCTATGATCCGGGTCTGTTGTAGGAGAGTGGAATGATGCTTCTTGCCGCTGGACACAAACGGAGCTTGGCTCTCAAGCAGGCCAAACGTATACAGAACGATGATTCACCTCCCCCCACCAAGTGATTCAGTGCATGGTTGCAATAGAGGGGTCATGGTCCAAGTTAAATATATGCCGGATGTGTTTTTAACATTGTAGTGAATGTTAGTGATCACTTGATCGCTGCGGGTATCGCATCAAAGCCGTTACGTACAGCACACACGAATTAAAACGCATTGATTCTTGTGCACGATGTTCCATGCACCTAGTGTGATGAACAAGCGATACTAACCCCGATTAAACGACGCATCGTTAAATATATTACGCACACGTGAATGACCGTTAGGTTAGCAGAGGGATGTGTAGGGATAGCCTTTTTTTTTCTCCTGCCACTCCAGATCTTCATTTTATAGCATACTTAATGGATTGCACTACCACTGCTCGTGGCATTTATATTTGGGGCCGTCCATAAATGACGTCACGCACCTAGGGGGGGGGGGGGTCAGACATTTGTGACGATTTGTGATGGGGGGGGGAGGTTGAGAAATGTGACGTCACATCAAAATGCGCAACTTTAAATAAATATAGACAACACGTTCTACTTAATTAAATAGACTTTTTAATAAATGTTTTCTCCTACAACATCAGAGTGCAGCGCCACATTAAATACGCACTACAATGACAATAGTTTAAAGCGATTTGAAGTATGTTTTTTTTTTTGGGGGGGGGTGGGGGCAGAGCTTTGTGACGTCATATTTGAGAGGGGGGGTCTGACTTTTTGTGACGCCGTGTGATGAGGGGGGGGGGGTCAAAATCGTCCAAAATCACGTGACGTCATTTATGGACGGCCCCTTAGACAAAGTGGTCTAACCATTTGCACATCCATAATACAGGTTTTATCGGGGTTAGAACGCTTAAATATAACTGTGCCGTTAAACTCGCCACCACGCGACACAGCTAATTAGTCAGGTTCATCACGTAAACAGAACGTGTAAATTCTTTTACTAGTACAACATTTACAATCCGAGTACGACGTTTCGCCAGTAATTACAACTGGTTTCATCAGTGCGACAGCCAGATTTGTGGAGAAATGGCAAGCATTTGCACATGCTTACCATAGCGTGACAATCGTTGTATATTCCCCCCACACTTATTAGAGATTGCGACTCGCAATGCAAGTGGGGGTGGCTTCTTTCCTACTCTTTGGTTCTATTCGGTAAAGTCACGTAGGTAAAAAATAAAACAACAAAAATCACGACGTTTCGGCCACAACACAAGTGGCCTTCATCAGGTGAAGGGACCAGACTGCCTCGAGGACAGCGCTGGAGTGAAACACAGCCAAGCTCAGACCGCGACCTTTAAGCTGTGTGAGAGGAATTAAGGTGCCTTGACAAAGGAATTAGCATAAAATGTAGCATTTAATTGGCGGACTTAGCATGATGAACGGTGTATAGGGGGTGAACATGTGCAGGCCGGCGAGTGGGGGAGGGGTAGTTTACATATTGATGGTGTGAAAAGGAAATTTTAAAGAAGCTGCGAAAGTTTGGGGTACCACTACTTGAAAAAAATATATACTGTACCATTGAAAATTAGTTTAATGTTTGGTTCGATTTAGAACATCTTTCCAATGGTTGCTTAATTTGAAACCATTTTCTCGGTTGAAATAGTGTCTGTGTTTGTAAATCTGAATTGCCTCTTTCCTGTTGTGATGAGTCCACTGTTGCACCGATGAGGAGTATTGTATTTGCACGTGACAAAAGAGATAGGCACTGTCTTCCTTGGTTCTTTCGGTAAAGTCACCACGTAGAATGAGAATAAAATAATAAAATAAAACAATACAATTCTCACGACGTTTCGGCCGCAACACAAGTGGCCTTATTCTTAGTTTTTTCGGTAAAGTCACGTTGAAGAGAAACAACAAAATAACAAAATATATATAAAACAATACAAAATTCTCACACTAAGAATATGAATTACTGCAGTCACGAAAGCTTTAAATCAAAACAAGTGGCCTTCTTCAGGTGAAAGGAACAGCCTGTCGGGACGACAGAGCTTGCACGTGCGGCATTTTGATGTGATCTCATTAGCACAGAAAATCAAGACCGCACAAGCCAAGTAACTCTGTCGTCCCGACAGGGTGTTCCTACCACCTGAAGAAGGCCACTTGTGTTGTGGCCGAAACGTCGTGAGAATTTTCTTGTTTTATTTTATTATTTTATTCTCATTCTACGTGGTGACTTTACCGAAAGAACCAAGGAAGATGAATCCTTGCAGTCACGAAAGCTTTAAATCGAAAGATAGGCACTGGTTTAAAAAAAAAACGTACTGCAATATCGCCTCTTCCCTTCTCTCTGATGTCGAGCAGCAGTATGGTCGTTTTTTCTCTTTTTTTATTTGCATGCTCCTTTCATATATCAAGCCTTTCCGTTCATTAGCATGCCCGGGTACTCCTGCTATTGCATCGCTAAATCCTGCAGATTGCACGTGCGGCATTTTGATGTGATCTCATTAGCATAGAAAATCAAGACCGCACAAGCCATGTAAAAAAAAACAACATTACTTATTGACATTTACAATTGACCAACAAATAGAGGCATTTTCAAAGGGCAACATTTTTCAAATTTACGACCGTCACGAATTGAACGTTACATTTTGCAGGAGTGCTGCAACGCGGCAGGCATTGCTGCGATGTAGAGCATAACATATAGTTACGTTAAATGTGATTTTAAAAAAATATATATTAATTGACAGTTATTTTTTATTCCACTGCTGGATGAAGGCTCCTCCCCCCCCCCCCCCCCCCCCCATACTGTCAGTGCGGATTGGTAAACAGCAGGACCGAAATCACTCGCCACTGACATCTGCCCTGGCTGTAAAGTGAAATCAGGTTGTTGGGTTCACAGCACAGTGTGCTATGGCCACCGTGACACCACTCCGCCAGGTATATGTTACATATTCCGAATATTATTTTTTGGCATTTTATTTTACCAAAATTCTATTTCCAGTCACGCGAACGGGATTTGTTTTTTATTGCATGTAATGGGCTCACATTATCCCTACCGTTCGCGGCAATGCAAAAATATCAAACGGATTCACAATCGGATTGATTCTCGACACTGAATT